GGTGTGTGTTAAACATCTCCAGAATTGCTCTATAAAGACACTTCCTTGTTTTCTTCTACACCAACCCTGCTCACACCCAAAGTCCAGAGACAGATATTCCACCAATTAAAGGAAAACAGATCCCTTCCAGTCTTTGCATTTTTGAGGAATTTTAACTTGGCCACTAAAAAAAAATCACAGCTAAACTTATCTTCCTTCTGTTCTTGAATCCAAGTGCAAATACCCAACCCAAGGGTAGGGCTCATAATTAAGCCCACCCAAGAATCCAGAAGCAAAAGAGAGCAAGGAACTTCAGGAATATTTAAATACCTTGCTATTTTCAAAGGCCATGAAAATACCCAGCAGAATCTCCCACACAATTGCAGAATTTTATGAATTGGCCATCTGGGGTCTGAACTGCTACCACAGGACTGAAAAACTCCCAGGGAGTATTTTAATATTCTTTTGAATCGAGTTACTGCACTGCTCAGTCTCTCTTTTCATTCATGAATCATTTCCTTCTGCTGTCCAGTCCCCATCTCGTGCGAGCCAAGGCTGATATTTCCTTGTCTGCATTCAAATATTTATTTGTGTATATTCAGCAAGTATGAACTGCCCAAGTGCCATCACAGCCCAGTATTTCTTGCACTCGTTTAGGGCAGGGACCCATTCTGAAAGGTCAGAGTGTATAAATCTCGTGTTTATTGGCTTTCAATTAGCTCTGCATCACATCTGTGCAGCTGGAATTTATCCTTCTGATAGCCAAGCTTTGCAAAAAAAATTGAGTTCACTGCATTCATCATTTAAATTATATATGAATAAATGAAATAAAGGGTTAACTAAGAATTAAAGGTAATAACAAGGCTACCTTGTCACATCCAGGTCATCACCTTGAAGTCAAGGTTCCTGTGACCTTGGTCATTGTTTAAGGGGTCTGGTGGAGATTTACCTCTACAAACAGGAGGTGCACAAATGATTAATTATTGCAGGTAATTTAAATCCTTTTCTAGGGCAGAAAAAGACGCTAACACCTGTGGAAACGATTTCCTGAAGTTTTTTTCCCCTCAAGTCCAAAAGTCCAAATTTAGTACCCACAAACTGATTTAAAATACAATTGTTCTACATAGAAAGTGGATAAACAGTCTACATATCAAGAAGAGCCCAGAATGATAAATAGAATCTACACTAAACTGTATTTCACATCACTTAATTATATGAACAGGATAATGAGGATTTCTGAATTACAGGAGAGTCTGGAAGAGCCCTACTTATACAAAAGATTTCAGCAGCATTTCATTTAAAATAAATTAATACTAAGCTGATGGTAGAAACACTTGAAAATGCTAAACCAGGAACACTGAGACATCATTGCCTATAGCAGCACCCACACCTTTGTGAAATACAGGAGAGATGATGGCACTAATAAAAGATACAGCTAATCTTACTTTATGGAGACTCAGAGCAATGCACAATGCTCTACTACTGTACTGGCAGGTAATCTACTGCCTCTTTAAATAAATGTAAATATTAGGTCTAGCAAGGATCAACCTGAGAAAAATGCTAAAATATAACTGCTAAAGTTAATACTTATTTAATACTTGCTTTTCTACAAGACTTAAAATGAAAAGGCTTTCCAACTATTATAAGATGTACAGTCTTAATCTACATTTCAATAAGATATTTAAAGGCAATGCTGAAACTGTCAAGGACCCTTTCTTAAGCCTGGGAGAGGCCGACAAAGGAGTGCTGACAGTTCTGTTTCCGTGACACAGGAGCATTATTTTATCAAGAAAATGTTATTATGCTTGTGTTCATCTTGGAACTCCTCTTTGCAGACTTTTCCAGCCCCCCAGCTGTATTTGGGGGCACGGATGCCACCACACCACTTGAGGTGTGAGGAGCATTTCCTCATGAGGTTAGATGAGATCAACATAAATGTATATTCTTCTGTCATGTTTTATACAGAAAGGTAAAAAAATGAAACTACAGTGAAATTCCTACAATGCCCAAAAACTGTAAAAGTACTCTAAAACATGCCTAAAATTCAACCTGTTGTTTTCATCCAACAGCCAAACAATTTTAGGTGATTTTTAGATGAGAGTTTCATTGTTACAGCTTCCATATCTGACATTAACATTCATATATATATATCCACTCTTTATGCTAAATACACTCTTTTGTGTTTTTATTTTTCACATCTTTGTTGTAGACCCTATAAAAATAGCACATCAAACACCTTGTTAAATTAACTCTTTCATTAATAACGTGCCTCCAGTTTGCAAATAACCCTTTTGCTCTTGTGTGAATGCATACATGCAGCCCATAAACAGTTCCTAATTAGTCACATGTGGATTCAAATGCAGACTTGTACGCCATAAACCAACACTGAAGTGTATAAGAAACTGTCAGTCAGATCAAAAGTCAATCCAAAATCATCCCATTTGCAGAGCTGAGATGCTGTCACAGTTAGTTAGCCCAAAATGTTTAAAACAGCGACCAAACTTTTATTCTAATTGAGCATGAGTTGAAAGGCTGCACACTTTGATGTCTTTGCTTTTATCATTTGTATATAGCTAAAAACAGCAGGGTGAGGGGTTTTTTTTTCTTAGTTTCTCTTAGAAATAGGAGACATTACTTCTTATTGAAAATATACAGGTAGGTCAGGCTGTATTTGTGGAGCCAATGTATGGCTTTCAATCATGCGTGTAATCACTTACAGCACCACTCCTCAAAAGTGCAATTAGTGGAGTTTCTCATTGCTATTTAACCTTTTCTTCCTGTCCATTGTCGACCAAATCATTAAGAAAGAAAGCATCTTCTGAATATTATCTGCAATGAGATCCTGCATCTCCTCAGGAAACCCGAGGAGTCGGGCAGCGCTGTCATTTCTCAATCCTTTCATTTTGCAGGAGGGGAGGGGGCAGCAGAGCCTGTCTGCAGGAATTGCATTTGAGCAGATGCCTACAATCTGAGAACATGTTCACAGAAACTTGAGAGGCTGCAATGAAAAGTCCAGGCCTAATCTTATTATAGCAGCGCTCGGTTACAGCGAGGGGAACACACACGAAACGCCAGGAGGGTGGGGAAGCAAAGGAGGCTCTCACTGCCCTTCAGGCAGAGCACAAACACACCCAATCCAGGGTGTCCTGGACCACCCCTCCTCTTTTTAATGAGACATAAAAACCTTCTTGCAAGAAAAAAAGTGAACAGCAGAACTTCCACACCTCTCGCTTCACTGAGATCACAAAAAAAAAACCAACCCCAAAACTCTCATTAATTTCAATAGACACCACAATGTTCCCAAAATCCATCACCTGCTGACAGTCTGTGCTGCGAGTTCCAGGGGTGGAGCTTAATGCTGGGATTTTCAAGGCTGGAACTTAAATCCTGTGTTTAGCTCTGCACCCCTCGCTGCAAGAATGACATTGGGGGGCTGGAGAGTGTGCAGAGAATGGAGCTGGGAAGGGGCTGGAGAATCCCTGAGGGAGCTGGGAAGGGGCTGAGCCTGGAGCAAAGGAGGCTCAGGGGGCTCTTCTGGCCCTGCACAACTCCCTGCCAGGAGAGGACAGCCAGGTGAGCTCAGGCTCTTCTCCCAGGGAATAAGGACAGGAGGAGAAGAAATAGCCTCAAACTGTGCCAGGGGAGCTTTAGATTGGGTATCAGAAAAATTTCTTGACTGCAAAGGTGCTCAGGCACTGGAACAGGCTGTGCAGGCAGAGTCCCTGTCCCTAGAGGGCATAAAAAGCCCTGTGGATGTGGCACTTGGGGACATGGGTTAGTGATGGCCTCGGCAGTGCTGGGAGAATGGTTGGACTCAATGATCTTGGAGGTCATTTTTAACCTGACCAATTCTGTGATTCACGGTGCCCCAGCCAGACTGAGGCTGTGCATCCCTGTGTGCACACCTGGATTTGCTCCTCTCCAATGAGCTCTGTCAAAAGCTCTGCCAGCACCAGTGTGTGCATGGAAAGGAGGCAGAGGAACACATCCTTCTCACACTATCCGTGCTTAAATAACATAAAATAACAGCATGAGAGATCCACTGGCTAAGCAGCCACATCTCTGATGAACTGGTTCCTCCTGCACTTTCCCCAGCACAGACCAGTGTGCTGTAACATCATATCCCTGGTGATGGGGCTGGAAATGTTGTTCCTAAGGACAACCACCCTCCTCCAATCTCTTCAAAAGCCCTCACTCCCAAAAAATCCTTTCCACTCATGCAGTTCAGCATTAGTTCAAATCCTGTCTTTCTCCAGAGACAGGAATTTATTGCAATCTGGAGAAAGCAGCTTCAGCACAGTTCTAGTGACTGAAAGGAGAAATTTAAGAGAGAACCTCAAGGCAGCTGCTCCTTGGCTTGGAATTGCAGTCTTCCATGCTAAGGCTTGCACATGCTTTGTGCCAAAACTCACACGGGTGTATTTGCAACCAAATCATTACCAGAACTAACCCAGGCTGACAGAAAACAAAAGTTTACCCAGTGCCACAAAAGGAAATAAGAACTGGAGACTCCAGGAGAGGAAGTGGTGCACAGGCCTTAAGTCTCCACAGAGGGCACTTGGAAGTGCAGCAGCATCTCTTGACAGAAATCACCATAAAGTTCCTGTAACCTGAGGGCCATCCCTGAGACTGAGAAACCATTATGTTAGGGACTGTATGAAACCATGCTAAGGCACAAATTCCAGTATCTAGAAACCAGATGGGGAAGGATTATGAAAAAATTATGAGCTGCATTTTCCAGATGAAGAACAGAGGAAAAGCAGATCTATTTTGTTCTCACTTTTTTTTTTTTCCTTTAAGGAATAGCATAACTTCGCTGCTTACAACAAGAGATAAAACAACCTTTGATGGTTTGTCCAAGGACACCCCAGAAACCCGCAGCAAAGCTGGGAACTCTGCACAGCTAGAGGTCCATTCATAACACCACCCCAATTCCCACAGAGCATCAGCCAAAAGGTGATTAGGGAGAGCCTCCTCCAGCATTTTTCACAATGGAACTGTGCCCAGTGTATTCCCTCCAGAAATACCATGCCAGGGCTTCTCCACGCTGAGGGTGCCGGATAAATCAGGTTTAAGGTGGCAGTGGGGAAGGCAGTCGTTCCTACTACTCAGCTTTGGTCTGAAATCAAGGGAAGGCTGCAGGATCTGTGGGAACAGGACATCTAGCAGTGATTGCAGCCATTATTCCCCCTCTTTTATAGTGCTACCTTTTAAACCACGCTTGAGATCTTTGTTGTTGTCTCGTAGCCTGTGGCACTGGCCTGGCGTGATGAGACTCGGGCGAGATGCAGCACATAAAAGCATCCACTGTAAGTGTGACGAATTGCAATGACAAGGTTGGGTTGGAGGTAACTTGTGAATGATCTGGTGAATTGCAAACGCCTGCGTGCTCTGCCTAGGAGCGGTGGTGGAAAGAGAATATGGGCAGTGCCAGTTGCATGCTCCAGGCAGGAGCCTTGCTGAGAACACAGGAGAAACACACCGTACCTTATTAACACGCCCAGCTTCTCAACGAGCTCTCTGCAAAACAAATATATAGCATCAGCAATCAACCATATTATTATTAATAATGCGGTTCAAACGTGTGGAGGAGGTGAATTTGGTACGAATCCAGCATTTGAATGATGCAGTTTGAAAATGAAAAGCTCTGCTTAGGTACCCAGAGAACACAGGCGTTGCTGTGAAAACCCAACACGCGGCATACAAAGGCGTGCAACTAACTAAAACCCAGCTCAAGTCATGAATAAAAACAATGCCATAATTCTTTGCACTCTAGAGCATCTTTCAGAAATCATTCTGCATGCATTCCCTGGTAAATACAACATCCTTGCAAGACAGATGAGGAACAGTACCCTGGTTTTCAGGATGGGAAACAAAGTCAAAAATAATCCCACACCCCAACACCACTGGAAGATTATTGATGAGGGCACAGGATGATCGTGACACATCAACTTTATGTGGTATTTTAGTGTGGCCTTTGGGGTCAGCATCTCTTCAATTCCTCCATGAAGATGAAAACCAAAGCCCCTTTCCTTTCCCCAAGCCATCAAAATGGTGATGCTCTGCATCACAAACCTTTATTTTTATTTATTATCATCTTCCTTTATTTTCCTTTTTTTTTGTCACCTCCCCTCACCTGTGTTATTTTCTTTACCTACATAAACCTACATGGGTAAAACTATGTCACATCTGTGATTAAACACACCTCAGTCCAAATGGAAACTTAAATTTATCATTATAAAGCACCTGGTGGCACAGCATGATCAACACTTACAGATTCACAGAAAAAAACCACCATTTTTGCTGTCACAGTTAATTCCCTGAAAACAGTCAAAAATCCAAGTTTAAACCAAAACACTGGCACGATACTTCAGTGTTTGCCCCCAAAATGTAAAAAAAAAACCCAAAAAACCAAAAACCAGCATTTTATAAAACAGAATTTACACATTTCTACTGTCACAAGTTACATAGATCATCTTTATCCTGTGGCATGTTCAGGACCCGATTTTAACTTCAAGCACCGCTGTAATACTCGAGATATTTTTCAATAAAAATCCAAGTATAAAAATGAGCAATTCACTTCCAGACACAAGTATCAACTGGGACATTCATCATCCCAAAACCCCCTTCCTCACAACACTTATTTTCTCTTGATAAGCCTTCCCTGGAGCACAACAAAAGCACTGTAACTCCAGGGAAGGTCTGGTATTTAACAACGATCTAAGATGGTGGAGGTGTGCATTATATTTTCCCAAAGTTGTCCAACACCTTTACATTCCCTCCACCCAACAACCAACCAGCCAATATCCTCTTTTAACACTTAAACACTGTTGCCTTCCCTCCACCTAACCATTACTAGGGGATTTAAATGACTTCCAGACATAATTTTAATATTAACTTACATTAAATTGAGGCCTCCACATACTTTTGCCCCTAATCTTTTTCCATTCTGCTGCTGATAATCTCGATCCAATATAGGATGTACCTCTGCTCAAGAGAGTCAGGGTTTCATTAACTCCGTTCAGGATTTTGTATTCAATCTATGTGATATAATTTTACCTGTTTCCAACCCTGTTTAGAAACAGTTTCAAAGAGAATTCATCTAAAATATGTTACATGTAGATAGACTCCATGCCCTCAAAAAACACCATCTATTAAAAAATGTATTTTTTTTACCTTGATCTAAAAGTGAAATTCTACATTCTATTAGAAACTAGACAATAAGAAAGACTGCTGCATAGTGATTAAATCTGCAAATAAACACCTTGAAGCTCTTTATTTTGTCGAAGCACTACGTGGTTTAGCCCCTCCCACGGCAGCACAGGCCCTCATATTTATATTTTTACACCATTTTTGTGGGCACAAGAAGTACAGAACCAAAATGTAAACACCGCTGTGTGTTTCATAAGTATATTAAACATGACCATTATGGGACAAGAACATTTTATCCTTCATTCAAAAAAATTTTGCATTATTAACTGCTGTAAAACCAAGAGCTTTTTTTTCTACTTCTTGTTTTGATAAACCAAGATATCCCTGTTGATTAATGATGTTAACCAATGGCCACTGATTGCCATCCAGAATGAATTTTCTCTATCACAAAAATTGGCTGATACTTCACCAGAAACATTACTGAGAAGTTATACTCCCCTATCTTAAATTTTCAAGTATGCTGTCAGGCAGAAAGGGAGAGGAAAACATGTTTACCCCTCCTCGCTTCTCTTAGAGCTGATGAAAAGAAAAACGTTCCCAGTTCTGCTGCGCATTTCGCTGTAAATTTGTCACACGTCTCTAATCATTCCTGCTAAATGCAGTTACCAGCTTCAGTGACAGTTTTGTTGGGAGGAAATCACAAGCCTTAAAAAAAAAAAAATAAATTAAAAACGTGTGCGCGTTTTATTAATTTTCTTTTTGAAAACTGTTATTGTTGCAAATACCTCTGCATCAGAGGAGGAGGAACACTGAGGAAATCATGGCAGGGAGGAGGATGTGAGGCACCTTCTCACAGCAGTGAATGGGAGAGAGGCACCTTGTCCTTTCTAAACCAAAAGTCCAGACTGACAACATCTACAACAGTCACAGTGCTCTCTTGAACCCAACATGGATATTCCAGAGCAGGATGGGAACCAGCTGCAAACAAAACTAATTCATTCAGGAAAGTTACACGGCCTCACTCTTTGTGTTGGCCCTTAAAACTCATCCCATCCCACTCCTGCCATGGCAGGGACACTTCCCACTGTTCCAGGCTGCTCCAAGCCCTGTCCACCCCAGGGATCCAGGGGCAGCCACAGCTGCTCTGGGAATTCCAGCCCTTCCCCATCCTCCCAGCCAGGAATTCCCAATTCCCAGTCTCCCATCCATCCCTGCCCTCTGGCACTGGGAGCCATTCCCTGGCTCCTGTCCCTCCATCCCTTGTCCCCAGTCCTTCTCCAGCTCTCCTGGAGCATTGTAAACACTGGAAGAAGCTTTAAGGTCTCCCTGGATTCTTCTCCTCTCCATGGTTGAGTTCTCAGCTCAGGACAGTAGATCTGTTCTGGAACAATCCCTTTATTCTGGCACTGGCACCATTATCTTCCACCAGAAGCAGACACCACTACTTCTATTTGGCAAAACTAAGGAGAAATGAGGATTTTTATATGATTTTCCAACAGCTCCTTGAATCTAATGCATTTTTCCTTTAAACAGCCTGAACGCTCCAGCTCTCCCAGACTATTTCCAAAGCAGAGGGATCCAGCCCTCAGAGCATCTCTGGACAAGTGAGGGCAGCTTCAAACCAGGATTTTCGAGCTGGTTTTTTTATTTCTTTTATTAATCATCTGAAAGAGGAAGAGCTTTGCAAGGGGGAAGCTCCAAAATTGCCATTTCAAGTGTTTTGTTTTGTTTTCAAAGCATATTCGAATTAGGACAAAAGGCAGAGAAGGAGAGCCTAAGAAGTGCTTTCAAGTAAAAAAACAGACTACTGGGAGGGCAGAATTTTGGGGGAAGATTTCTGTTACATCCTGTACATCCAGTCTCCAGGCAGAACTGGGGGGAACGAGCCAAAACACTCAGCTCTATCAATGCCATTCTGGCTTCTGAATGAATGTGACAGTGAGAGACTGTGGGAAGCAACTTAACACAAATGGAAAATTTGCAAGTGAAGAACTATAATAATTGTCTCCCATAACAGCCAGATCAGGTTGCAGGGAGGTTTTTTTCTCTGCTTTTTTTTTTGTTGTGGGGCTGTTTGTTTTTTTTTCTTTCCCCCACTCTGAGTGCAGTTTAGCTGGAACATTTTATTCAGGATACTTCTGAGAATGACTAACAATTTGCTGCTACTGACAAATAAGTTGGGTCACAGCACAGACAAACAGCAGCAAGAATCTCAGTGAGCTCCACTCATATACAAAGAGAATGGTTCAGGTACAGAAAACACATTTTTAATTATTTCCACATCTACAGCAAATCTGTAGAATTCTGTACAGTGCAGCAATTGCCCAGCTGGGGATAGCAACTCTTTCCCATGTGCTTCTGCAACCAGGCCTTCCCCAGCTTTGTTTTAAGGGAAAAAAAAACCCCAGAATTCAACCATCCCAGCACAGCAGCATGAATAAAACTCAGCCAAAATTATGCAAATACACCACAGATTCTGGATTTTTTTCTCTTGTAGCACCTCAGGTGCATCTTCTACCACAGGCTGACCCCACTTGCAGGAAAATGCCACAGAAAAAGCTGAACTTTATCAAGTCCATGTTTTAATCTGACTTATCACTAGAGGATGACACTGCCAAAAACTTCCCAAATTCCAGCAGCACAGCCCTGTGCCCCCTTCCCTGGCCAAAACTCAACAACACAAATTCTTGATATCCCACAAACAATTTAAGGGACTGAGATTATTCTCCTTGGTTGCAACCAATAGTTTTACAGGTTGAGCTCCTCCAGAAAAATCTCTTTATTCTGCTACTGGTACCATTATCTTCCACCATAAGCACACACAGCTACTTCTACTTGGCAAAAAAAAAAATCAAAAAATAAAATCAGGGTTTCACATGGTTTTCCAGCAGCAACTTGAATTAAATGCATTTTCCCATTAAACAATTAGTAGGAGCTAGTGCTGATACATACAAATTTCAAAACCATTAGAAACTACATAAATTCATGCTGATATTTGACTCATCATTACATATCCCTTTTGTACTATTTAGAAAAACCAGTTTAGATGTACATTAACACACTCATTGACATTTAGGCAGTTTACTGCAGGAAGAGTAGAAAAGCAGTCTAGAACAGCAGATTTCTCTTCTTTTTCTTTTGCAACTGACTCCTGATTTTGCTACAGAGATCCCTTTTCCTTGGGTCTTTAGTTCATACCCAAAGCTCTCTGTTTATTTCATTTATACCACTGGCTTTGCATTTCCATGAATTACAGGAACAGCTCACATATCTCCTGCATTAGATTCAAACAAAAAGTCATTGATGCTTCAATTTCTTAGCTGACCAAATTATGCCCACAAAAGGTACAAACCTTTAAAGAAACTTCAGAGAAAGTTCTGGAAAGCACCAATGAGCAGCCAGCCAAGTGTGCTGGGGCAAGGGGTGGTGGTGGAGAACAGAAAGGCCAAACATTCTGCTGGAAATGGAAATAAAACTACCAAAAAAATCTCTCAAACATGGCACAGAAAATGCTACAGCTCCAACAGCCGCTTACTCAGCCAGAACCAAGCCTAAAAGCAAGGAGCAGCTCCCAAAGACACAAGAATCATTTCTACCTTCCACAACCACTGTGAATTTTCTCTACTGAAAACATTTTCCAGTTTTATTACAATAAAACCTGAATTTAAAGCATTTTGGTCCTCATAGACCACAAAAGAGGAGATACTGGGTGAAATTCACCCCAAAGCACAGACCAACTCAGAGCCACACCAGGCCTCAAATCTCTCTTCATTGTTACCACACAGGTTTAGTCCAAATCCCCCAAAACCAGGCCAAACATCACCATGGACTCTGTACAACCCACCAAAACCATCCAAGAGACAAAAACTGCATCACACCTACCCTGAGCTGCAAATGATGCTCGGAAGCAGGAGGTGGTGGTGGCTCTCCAGGTTCTTCTCTCCCAGGATGCCCAGCCCCAGAAGCTGCTCCTGAGCCATCCCTGGTTGAGGTGAGCAGCATCAGCCTGACCCCACCTTTGATGACCTTAATTTAAAGCTCCAGGCTACACCAATCACTTTTTCAATCCCGTAACCTGATGTCCTTCAGGTGTCTCAGTCTTGAAAAGGCATTAATTACCCTCACTCAAACAAAACTCTTTTCCTCTAACAATGACCTACTTAAAAGAAAGAATCTCTTTTTTTTTTTTCCCTTGATTGTCACATAAACAAAACCAAAAGCTTTTCCTATGCATTGCTACCCTGACTCCTCATCTGTGCAAAGTACAACTGTTGAAGTGACTCCTGTCCCTGCATAACCCTGGACAGAGTTTCCTACCACACACACCCAGCAAGGACATGGTAATCAATTTGAGATGGCCCCAAAAATGACCCCCAGCTGCATCCTCAGGAGCTCAGTTTCTCTGGTAGCCCCAGAGAGGGATGGGAGGTGAGGAGAGCACTGTAGATCTACACATTAAATCTGAGTCTGGGAGTGTGCAGGGTACAGCCTGCCCAGGAAATGAAGTGGCTGAAAGTGATGCAGTAAAGCTTGAAGTGAGACAAGTTTTCTCTGGGCACATCCCTTGGGAATTACCCAAAGGAAGGAGGGAAAACAGAATTTTCCTCTTCAGGGAGGAACCCTCTTCTCCTCATGGCTGGGGATCACACAGACCCATTGTTCCTCTATGCAGAATTCTCCCTTAAGAGCTTCCACCCCAACCCAGCTCCTGGGTTCTTTACATTCTCCTCCTCAAGTCCTGTGAACTTCTTCATGATAAAGAAATTTATATTTTTTTTGGAAAATGCACCAGCATCATCCACNTTTTGCAACTGACTCCTGATTTTGCTACAGAGATCCCTTTTCCTTGGGTCTTTAGCTCATACCCAAAGCTCTCTATTTATTTCATTTATACCACTGGCTTTGCATTTCCATGAATTACAGGAACAGCTCACATATCTCCTGCATTAGATTCAAACAAAAAGTCATTGATGCTTCAATTTCTTAGCTGACCAAATTATGCCCACAAAAAGTACAAACCTTTAAAGAAACTTCAGAGAAAGTTCTGGAAAGCACCAATGAGCAGCCAGCCAAGTGTGCTGGGGCAAGGGGTGGTGGTGGAGAACAGAAAAGCCAAACATTTTGCTGGAAATGGAAATAAAACTTCCAAAAAAATCTCTCAAACATGGCACAGAAAATGCTACAGCTCCAACAGCCGCTTACTCAGCCAGAACCAAGCCTAAAAGCAAGGAGCAGCTCCCAAAGACACAAGGATCATTTCTACCTTCCACAACCACTGTGAATTTTCTCTACTGAAAACATTTTCCAGTTTCATTACAATAAAACCTGAATTGAAAGCATTTTGGTCCTCATAGACCACAAAAAAGGAGATACTGGGTGAAATTCACCCCAAAGCACAGACCAACTCAGAGCCACACCAGGCCTCAAATCTCTCTTCATTGTTACCACACAGGTTTAATCCAAATCCCCCAAAACCAGGCCAAACATCACCATGGACTCTGTACAACTCACCAAAACCATCCAAGAGACAAAAACTGCATCACACCTACCGTGAGCTGCAAATGATGCTCGGAAGCAGGAGGTGGTGGTGGCTCTCCAGGTTCTTCTCTCCCTGATGTGATGGGAGCCCCCAGCAGAACTTCCTTCCATGGCACCCAAGGTGGTTTCACTGCAGGAAGCCCAGCCCCAGAAGCTGCACCTGAGCCATCCCTGGTTGAGGTGAGCAGCATCAGCCTGACCCCACCTTTGATGACCTTAATTTAAAGCTCCAGGCTACACCAATCACTTTTTCAATTGTGTTACCAAATGTCCTTCAGGTGTCTCAGTCTTGAAAAGGCATTAATTACCCTCACTCAAACAAAACTCTTTTCCTCTAACAATGACCTACTTAAAAGCAAGAATCTCTTTTTTTATTTTTTTCCTTGATTGTCACATAAACAAAACCAAAAGCTTTTCCTATGCATTGCTACCCTGACTCCTCATCTGTGCAAAGTACAACTGTTGAAGTGACTCCTGTCCCTGCATAACCCTGGACAGAGTTTCCTACCACACACACCCAGCAAGGACATGGTAATCAATTTGAGATGGCCCCAAAAATGACCCCCAGCTGCATCCTCAGGAGCTCAGTTTCTCTGGTAGCCCCAGAGAGGGATGGGAGGTGAGGAGAGCACTGTAGATCTATACATTAAATCTGAGTCTGGGAGTGTGCAGGGTACAGCCTGCCCAGGAAATGAAGTGGCTGAAAGTGATGCAGTAAAGCTTGAAGTGAGACAAGTTTTCTCTGGGCACATCCCTTGGGAATTACCCAAAGGAAGGAGGGAAAACAGAATTTTCCTCTTCAGGGAGGAACCCTCTTCTCCTCATGGCTGGGGATCACACAGACCCATTGCTCCTCTATGCAGAATTCTCCCTTAAGAGCTTCCACCCCAACCCAGCTTCTGGGTTCTTTACATTCTCCTCCTCAAGTCCTGTGAACTTCTTCATGATAAAGAAATTTATATTTTTTTTGGAAAATGCACCAGCATCATCCACATAACTTCTGTAAACATCACACTTTCTAACACCTCCAGGGGTTAAAAATGTATTTTACTTTCCTTTGCCACCTACCCCAAGTGCTGAGTCACTGCCCAAATGATATTTTTGTGGAAACTCTTTAATAAAGGACCTGCTAAATGTGTACAATTACACAATGACCTGCTAGATCCCTTCTGGGGCATCCAGTAGCAGGGAAGTGTTTGATATCAGTCATCCCCCAGGTGCTTCAGTCCTTACAGGCAGTGGAAATTGTTTCCTGTATCCCTATTCTCTTATACCCCCCAACCTGCTGGTGTTTTCCTGCAGGGCCTGCTGTGCTTCCTTTCCCAGAGAAATGAGCCTCCCACAGCCCACGTTTGAGCTTCTACCTTGCTGTAAAATCCTTTTGAGGATATTGGGGGAGGCTGAGCTTTCCCAGCTCCTTTTAAAGCTCTGTCCAGAGCATCCTTGGCTGCAGGAGTTCAGCTTCCATCTCTGGATGGAGTTTTTCGTGCCCCTGCCTTTTCCCAGCACATGCTGTTGATGAATTTTGGAACTTTGTGACAAGCAACTCCTTAAAAAGTTCATTCACCTGTTCTAAATGTGTCAGTAAATTCAGGAAAACTGTTCTAAATGTGTCAGTAAATTCAGGAAAACCAACCTTCTAAATTCCTCAGGTCCTGAGTTTTACTATCAAAAGCTTTCTAGAAAGTTTTTTAATAAAATATTTATAACACCAAGACCTCTTATAAACACAGAGTTTACACAAGTCAAGCTTAATAAAGTGTTTTCTCTTGAATTGGGCTGAATTGATAATTTTCCAAATAAGCTTCCACAACACACTCCTTTGAAATAAAAATGTGATTTTCATGAGTCTCTATCCATCTTCCCAGTGTCCCTGCTGCATCCCTGGCATCCTCTTCCAGGGATTACCCAGTTGCACCAGCTACCCCAGTAGGAACAAACTCCACATTTCTGTCTTGGCCCCACCTGTGAGTGAAGTTCTCCCTGCTCCAAGAGCAGTTTGTACATCCTCCCCCCAGGATATGATTCCCCTTCCTTAGCAAATATTAACCTTTTCAAAAGTTACTTCCAAATGTTCTGTTTGCTTTTTTTGTGTGTGATTTTGGCTGGTGTCAGTCTGGTACTTTTATGAGTCAGATCCCTGTAATTGCAAGAGGCAATTAACACAGTTCATCCATAGCTTCATTTTATTTTCATGCCTCAGATTAAAGACATATTTCTCATATACTCTCTTTTTTTCACATGGCATGTTATATTCAAATCTCTGCAGCACACTTTTATGGTTATCATCCTACAAACCAACTGAGAACAGTAGAAAAAGTGCAGTTTTTCAGAACTTATCCTCATGACTGAAGTGGGTTTGGTTCACTTCCTTTTTCCCTGCATTCCTTTATTCCAAGCAATGTTCAGTACCCACTCTGAATCACTCACCTCAACAGGTTTGCTGTTTGGTGATGCATCTCCCACTGCCTTTGCCCACCAGAACCCCTTTTTCTTTTGGTCATTCCTCTACAAACTTTCTGCAGAAGCACTTAAAATCCAGTTGCTAATGTCACAAAGGCGTTCCAGAATGAGCTTAGCTTTGCTCTGTGTGAATAGGACCCCATTTCCTTCTGGGAGAAAATCACACATAAGTGATACAAGAAACCACAGCGGGGTTGTCAGCTCCATCTTCCAGTTCTGCTGGGTCAGGAAAACACTTGGGAGAAAAAAAAATAAGAGAGAGGGGGGAGTTTCAGAGACAAATTTCAGCCATAAACCACCAGAGCGTTTGAGGAGCTGGACAAGTGCCACCTGGTCCCAGCCTCCCTGAGGAACACAAAATACCTTAGAGTATCTGGATCACTCCCTTCCTTCAGGAATCATAAATCACAGATGGATTTGGGTTGGAAGAGGCCCTAAAGATCATCTCCTTCCACCTTCTGCCATGCCCAGGGGCACTTCCCACCATCCCAGGCTGCTCCAAGCCCTGTCCAGCCTGGCCTGGGACACTCCCAGGGATCCAGGGGCAGTCACAGCTGCTCTGGGAATTCCACCCCAGCCAGAAATTCCCAATTCCCAATATCCCACCCATCCCTGCCCTCTGGCACTGGGAGCCATTCCCTGGCTCCTGTCCCTCCATCCCTTGTCCCCAGTCCCTCTCCAGCTCTCCTGGAGTCCCTTCAGACCCTGGAAGCACACCTTGGGCTGGTTTAAAAATTCCATCTCCTATTTAAATGCAGACAGTGGATGAGCACTACCAGGTAGAACCCCACTGCTAAACTGGACTTGTGTGCTGCAAAGCCCTGTTGAGAGATCCTTTCAAACCCTCATTGTTTTAATCATGTTTGAATATTTAGGTGAAGGCAGAAAGTAAGAAAGAGAAGAAAATTCACTTTAACATTGCTTCCAAATGT